TACAAGTTGCTGTTCGAACTAGACCATTGAATCAACGAGAAGTAAAATTTTTTATTAATTTAACTAAGTTTTATTTTATTATTGATTAGATTGATCTGAAATCTCCAACTATTGTGACGATACAAAATTCACAGGTTTTTGTGGAGAAACCTCAAGACAAGTATAGATTTTTCTTTATTTATTCAATATAATCTATCGTTTTTTATTAGACATCATACGCCAAAAACATTTTCATATGATTTTTGTTTTAATTCAATACATTCAGATAGTTCAAATTATGCCAGTAAGTTATTTTATTTTATTAAGTTTTAACAAAATTTTTTAAATTATAGGTCAAGAGATGATATTTGAAAAACTTGGTGTAGAAATTGTTAAACATGCATTTGAAGGATATAATGCCTGTATATTTGCATATGGTCAAACAGGTTTGATTGAGAACAGGAAATTGTTGAATATTTAAAAAATATATATGTTTGATTGGTTAGGTTCAGGCAAGTCATATACTATGATGGGTTCACATAATGATCGAGGAATAATACCACGTTTATGTCAATTGATGTTCGATCAAATAGAAAATAAAATAAAAGAAGAAATCAATCAAGATATAAATATTGAATCAATTAATAATGAAAAAATTAATGATATTTTATCGTTAAAATTTTCATCATCTTATCGTGTAGAAGTTTCATATTTCGAAATTTATAATGAAAAAGTACGAGATTTACTTAATCCAAATAAGTAAGTTAGATTCGATGTTATTTATTATTATTTTTAAATGTATATTTAATATATAGTAATCATCATGCATTAAAAGTACGAGAGAATAAAATTCTTGGACCATACGTTGATGGACTTTCACAACTTGTTGTTACATCCTATCAGGTAAAATTTGAATAGATAAAGAATTCCATCATAATATTATAATGATTGAAAAATCTGATTTTACTGCAAGCATAAAATCAAGTGAATGAAGAAACCATCTAAACAGATTAACTAGTTTTGAAACCATACATTGAATCTAAGAGCAGACCCATAGACTAGAGTAATTTCTTCTCGATTATCAGCAGATAAAATCTTGACTTGTGAATTATAGAGATAAACTAAAAATTGAAAACTTCAAGAGTTATAAATATATGTCTTTTTGTTCGTCTAGAGTGTACTCTAATCTGTAATATGTTTTTTTGTAGGAAATTGAAACTCTATTAATCGAAGGTAATAATTATCGAACAGTAGCATCAACAAATATGAATAATGAAAGTTCAAGATCACATGCTGTATTTACTCTTAAATTAACTCAAACATTATCAACTGACGCATCTGAAGTAAAGAACTAAATCTAATCTTCTGATAAAATGAATGAATTATTTATTTATTTTAGACTCAAAGTGTAAAAGTAAGCAAAATAAGTCTAGTTGATTTAGCTGGATCTGAACGTGCATCGAAAAGCGGTGTTCAAGTAGAACAAGCTCGTTTTCGAGAAGGATGCAATATAAACAAGTATGAAAACTTATTGAAACTATTTTCTTTTAAAAACTTAACTAATTTCCAGATCTCTTTCAACACTCGGTCTTGTAATCTCAGCGTTAGCTACACGTCAATCGAATGAAAATAGTTTAAAATCAACAAAAAAAACATTTGTTCCATATCGAGATTCCGTATTAACTTGGTTATTAAAAGTAAATTCAATATTATTCTATCATTAAAAAATATTTATGTTATTTTTTTCTAGGATAGTTTAGGTGGAAATTCTTTTACTATAATGTTAGCAACAATATCTCCAGCCTATGATAATTATGAAGAAACAATTTCAACATTACGTTATGCTGATCAAGCAAAGAAAATTGTTAATCATGCTGTTATTAATGAAGATGAACCCGGAACAATAATTCGAGAATTAAGAGATGAAATTGATAAATTACGAAAAGAATTAGCGGATGCTAAAGCAGAAAAATCAGCCGAGAAACTTAATGCTGAAATAAAAGAAAATGAAAAATTAATGCAAACAATATCCAAAGATTGGCAAGAACGTATTGCTGAAACAGATAAAATAAGCAAAGTAATAAAAATATAAAAACAAAACTCTTATGATAAGAAAGTTAAATATTTATTTTGCTTAGGAACGTCATGAATTACTTGAAAAAAGTGGTATTTCTGTTTGTAGTTCTGGTATTGGTTTAGAAAAAGATCGATTATATCTAGTCAATTTAAATCCTGATCCAGCATTAAATGAATTATTAGTTTATTATTTAAAAGTAATTATTTTACAGTTTTGAGAAAAGAATTATTTTGTTTTGTTTTTAGACAAAAACAAGGATTGGTAGACCCGATGCACCGATTAAACAAGATATTGAACTAATCGGAGTTGGTATTTCACCAGAACATTGTATTATTGAAATGAAAAATCAAAATCAAATATTTTTAATACCTTTGAATAAACAGAAGTTAGAAGAAAGATTTTAAAATTAACAGAAAATAAAATTTCGTTTTTTAATAGAACATATGTCAACGGTCAATCAATTGATGATGAAACACAATTGAGACATGGTGATCGACTTTTACTTGGTTGTTCGCATTTCTTTCGTTTAAATTCACCCGGAGATAGAGGTAAGACTTGCTAATTATTTCATTAATATGTAAGAGCCTTTTTTAAATATCCGTATTAAAAAAAATGACATGGATTATTCAGTTTAAATGTTCTAATCTTTGATCAGATAAAAATGTAATTTATATTAACAACAAAGGACTTTTTTGCTCGAAATTTTTCTTTTCGTTTCGAATTAAAAGTACACGATAAAAAACAAGGCATTTTTATGGCTTGTAAAACATGGTATGCTGCATGTTCTAATAAGATATTTTGTTTTTTTCCTTGATGATACATTACACGATGAAAAGATAAGATAAGACTAAATAATTCCTTTCTTCCAGGGTCGAAAATCTGACTCATCGGAATTTTGTCCAGTTCGTAAATAAAAAAAATCACGTTATAATAAGTCACATGACTTTATGGAAATTATAACTTTACACATTGTGTTTTATGTCATACTTTGTTTGTTGGATAACTTATTAGATAAGAAGAAAGAAAAAGATACTTTTTTGTCGGTGTTATCTATTTGTTTTAATAACATTCGCTAGATTTTAAGTAGTTATTTGTATGGCTGTTTTTTTCTCTCACACATACCTTGAATTTATTTCAAATTGTTTCGCATATATCCCGATTCAATCGACTCGGCATAGTTCCTTTTTCCAACATTTTTTAAATGATTAGTTTAAAATACAATAGTATACAAGGTAATTCGAGATTACATTATTATAAAATAATCAATTAATAACAATGATGGCGTGAGAACAGGCGTATAAAAACGTCTTGACATTTACAATTGTTATGTAAATAGATGCAACTGAACTCATTCGTTTCAATGACAAGAAAAAAAAACGAGTACGATAGTATTAACCGATGGAGTGCTGTTCAGAAAAATACTCGTTACTATTTAACATAAATCGCTAACCTACCAATCGATTCATTTGAGCGTTGTAGACATTAACTATAGAAATGAATAAGCCTCTATTTGCATTCGCTAAATACACGTGAATAAGAATGAATAATCAATCATCCACGTCATTTGAATATTAAACTAAACCAATCGGTTATTTAACTTATAATAAATCGTTCTATTTCATAGTTTCAACAAATAATAATAACAATACGGTTATATCATCAATCATGAACACTTCATCACATTTAACATTTATTGATGCTCAGAATGAATTTTTACTCAATCAATTAGCTACGGATCCAATGACAAAAGATTTAAGATTATTTTTAAAACAAGATGACAATAATCAAGAAACAAATCGTAAATAAAAATTTTTTATTCTAGTTCAAATTTCTAATTTGATATTTTTATTTTAGGAATTATTGCAAATAAAACTTCCGATGTCTATGAAAGAGAAATTGAGTATCTTAAAACACAATTAATGCGTAGTGATAGTCGTTCAACAACAATAAATTCGAAAAATCGTGCTTTTGAAGATTCACTTTCGAAATGGCGTTTTTCAAATAAACTTCTCACTGAGTATTTTATAGAGAAAAACAAAATCAAATTTTATTCTTCATATTTCTATTAGATCTGAAGAAAGTCGAGCATATTTTCATCGTCTTAAACAAGAATTAATACGTGTTAATGCTCTTGTATCTGAAGCAAATACAATTGCAAGTGAAATGCAACGACAAACAACATACAGTGCAATGTTACAAATCCCTGTTTCATATTTAAAACCAAGTCAACGTGTATGTAGAGAAAAAAAACAACATAATTTAAATATCAGCCTTTGCCTTTTTTTTGTTACAGGCTACAACAAATCTGTGTGAACCAGCTGTTCAAGTTAAAAGACGAAATCTCTCGCCACAAATATGGAATATAGAAAAATTTGAATCGAAATTAAATGATATGAGAGATGTTTATTATGAATGGCAAATGTCGGAAAATAAAGTATAAATTTATTTTTTTGTAAAATAATTTTCTATGAATAATATTTTTAGTCATTATTAATCACACAACAACAAAAACGAAATGATCCATTTTTTGATGTTGAAGAATATAATAGTTTAATTGGTGTTGCAAATATTTTTTTAAAAGCTTTATTTTATGATTCAAAACTCGATTATCTTGTACCGATTATAAATACACAGGGAGAGGTAATACAATAGATTATTAAAGCTACTAGACAGTTGATGTAGATTTAGCTTATAAATCAATTATCTAATTCTACGAATGTTTTTACTTAAGTAAACATGTTTGTCCGGAGATAATCAAGTTTTAAAGAATTCCGAACTCCGATAATTCTGTTAGTTTGTAAATTCGATTGTGTTTATAGTAATCATAAAATTAAACATATGGTATTGAATAAAATGAATTTATTTTATAATAGATATCTGGTTCACTGCATGTTGTTCTTGTACAAGTGGGTACATCTTCAATGAAAAAATTAAGTGATTTTCAACCAAATAATAAACCACGTGCTAGTATTAGTGAAGGTATAAGTATTGAAACTGAGGAACGTAGTTTAAGTGAACATAGTAACAGTCAAAACAGTTTGGATGATGAAAGTAATGATGATATAATTGGAACGTCGAATGATAAAACTGATCAAATTACAGTTAGAGTATGTATTTAATTTATTTAAAATAAATTCTATTGATGATTTTGTCTAGTTTGCGATAAAAGAAGTTCGAGATTTACCTCAATGTGATGGTGATAGAGTCATGTGTCGATATACATTTATAAATCAGAAAGAAGATCAAAAAAATTCTATCAATACAACCAGCATCAAATGATGATGATACTGAAGAACAAGTTGGTAAAAAACCACGTATATTTTCATTCAATCATGAAAAAGTAAATAATTATTCGATAAATTTTTGAATTTTAAATTCTTTTATTTATTCAAAGGAATATACATTTACAATGACTGATAATTTTATTACAACATGTCTTGAGAGTGCTGTTTCAATTGAAGTTTGGTATCATTATAGTACGATACCACTATCAATAAATACAAATGCGAATAATGAACGTACACGACGTGATGCAGAAATTCGAGCTTTAAGTAATCGATGGAAAGAAGTTAAACGACATATACAATATGCTGTTGAAATTCATGAATTGGATGCATCGGGACGATGGGAACCAGTTGAAGTTGATGCTCAACAACCGCAAATTATTAGTGGAGGAGTTTATCGATTACGACAAGTAAATTAAACTAGATAAACATTCGTATTATTTATATATGTTTATAAATAGGGTCAATCAAAACGTTTAGTAGCACGATTACGTGTTATACCTCAATCAGGTACAATGCCACTTGTTCTTCATGCTATACGATCTGTTGAAATTGGTTCAATAAATACAAGAAAAATAAATGCACCAAAACAATTAGATTCATATCAAGATGAAGAATTACAGCGTTTACGACGTGAATGGCTTGATTTAATTGAAAAACGTAAAGTTTATCTTGAATCTGAAATTAAAATGTTAAGTCAACAAACAAGTAATTATTCCAAAAAAACAAATATAATATATAAAAATTTTATTCTTAGATAAAACACCAAATGATCTTGAAAGAGAAACAGCTTTACTTGAGCAACTTGTTCGTTTAGCTGAAGAAAGAAATTTTTCAGAATTGCCACCACCCGGAAGTGGAATACCTGGTAAATAATATTCTACAAAAAATTATTAAATTTAATCTATATATACATCTAATAGGTTCACCACCGTGTTGGACTCCTCCAGCAACGATTGAAGAACATCGTCCACTTATATTTCTTGATTTAGATCCTGTTAATATGAATACAGATAATGATACAGCTGGTCTTAAAGCAACATTAAATGAAGAAAATAAAAATGATATGTTTCGATTACCATTACTTCATCATGCATCGGATGAGGTTGGACAAAAAAACAAATTATTTTCTTTTAAATATCTAATTTTTTTTAAAGGTTCGTGCTGTTGCTCAATGGGATCCATCAATACATGAAGCACATGAAATGTAAAGAATTATTTTGTTTTTAAGAAAAAGAATAAACGAATTTTTCTAGGAATCGTGTTACACCAAATAATACAATTATTTATATGATTGTTAAAATAATTGTATTAATATCTCAACCTGTTCGAATGGAACTTGTCTTACGTAAACGTATTGCAACAACTATCGGAAAAACTGAAGGATGGTGGTCAGGCAAAGCAATGAAATACCTCCTTGGTTATGTAAGAAAAATGTTTTCTTTTTTTTTCGTAAATTAAAAGTATTTATTGTTATATTTAGAAACCATATAAACGAACAAGTGTTGTTTATGAAATTGTTTCAAGTATCCCCAAATATATTCATGAAATTGAAGATAGAAAAAGTCTTGCATTAGTTGCCGGATCAGAATGTCATACACAGAATTATATAGAAAAATATATTCAATATGCATCCGCTGTTGATTCTCTTCTTTTACTTGATCAACTCAGACAAGTACGAAGAATTTTTATTAAATAAAAATAATCATTGTTTTTTCTTCTCCTATTAGGAAGTGTCATTAACTGAAAATTCTTCAAAACAACAAACGATACGAAAAGCAACAAGTGTACCTAATATTGCTAATCAACAAGGAAATACTGTAAGTTAATATATTTGAATTCATAATTTATGAGAGAAAATGTTCGTTTGTTTATAGACTCTATCAATTGCACCAGTTAATTCTCGTCGAGAAATTGATGATGAACAACAATCTCCATTAAAAAAATCTCCTTCAATTCAAGGTGAATCTTCAACTCGTTCAAATCCATTTTTTGATGATAAAAATACTGCTAAATCATCTTTTCTCTATCCACATACTCATAATGATTCAACGCCAACACAAATTAAAACCATTAATACCCCATTTTCAGCATTTAGTCGATCAGATCTTAATGTATCAACTCCAATGTCAACGCGTATTGAAAATATAAAATTGAATGAAACTCCACATTCTTATTTTGAATCAACTACACCAAGTATGTTATCACGTTCATTATTTATTGAACAAGAACAATTAGAACCCGTTAAAACATCAACTATTCGAATACGAAATGCATTTGATATTGATGATCATGAAAATCAAACGAATAAAAAAGAAGATGATGATCAAGCATTATCTATAAGTACACTTGAAGAAAAATATTCTGTACCAGTAACTTCACGACCTATTCAACCATCAACGACTGAACAATCAATTCAACCGTCAACTACTGAACAACCTATTCAACTATCAACTACTGAACAACCAATTCTATCATCGACGACTGAACAACCCACAATAAAAGTTGTTGATATTAATGATGAAGAATATCCAATTGATTCACGAGTTATTGTTAATACTGATCATCATATATTTAATAAATTAGGTACAGTTCGTTTTGTTGGAAAAACAAGTATTAAAGAAGGTATTTGGTATGGTATTGAACTTGAAGAAGCAGTTGGTAAATAAAATTTCAAATCTATAGATAAAAATTCTATATGAATTTCTTTTTTACACTAGGCAAACATGATGGTTCAATTAAGGGACATGTGTATTTTCGATGTCCAGATAAACATGGTATTTTTGTTCGTCGTGATAAAATTCGACGAAAGACTTGAAAACTAATTTCAATTAATTTTTTTTGATGTTGTTATTTTCTTCTTCTTTTTTGTTTGTTATTTATTATTGGAAACGATCTCTAGTCGTTCTATACACGAATATTTTTCTTTTTTTTGTTTCTAAAATATTTATTTCATGATTTACATTTCATTAATTATCACTGGATTATATTTACATATATAACACTACTCTCCTTTGTCAGATTATCATCATTTTTACACACGCATGGCCATTATTATTATTATTATTATTATTATTTTGGTTGTTGTATTGATTGTTTCATCAATATATATATATAAGCTGGTGTATCCTATATAAATGTAATTTGATTTCTTCTCGTTTTCTTTTTCTCCTTCATTTAGTTTTCGGTGATATCTGTTGACTTCCACCCACATATGTATATATAGACGCATATCTTTTCTCTATTTCTTGTAATGTGAATGTATCTAATATGATTTTCTTTTCTTTTCTTTTCTTTTTGCATATTTATTATAAAGAAAAAACATTTTGATATTCAAATAAATATTCTGATGATTATAGAATCTAACTATGTGTATACATGTTCCGGTCAAGGATAATGTAATGTAACCATCTATATTTGATGCGACTGTCTAGCACGGATATTTATAGTATATATTTGCTTAAAAATATCTATTTCTTTGTCAATGAAATTTCTGTTGGCGAGAGAGGTTACATATATGGATATATATCGATGAACTGGAAATAGAACTATCGTTTCTTTGTTTCTTTTCTCATGCGATCTATCAATCGGAGTGTTGAAAGAGAGAGGCAGTATAATATTATAGCATGAATTCACACAGACATACATGTCAATCAGTGGTGAATGAAGCAGTAAATTAGATAATAGATTATTACAAAATACCTGCTTATTCTATTTATTATTCATATCTTCGATTTCCTTAGTTCTTTATATTACAGTTGAGACTCGTCCGTTGTTTTTGAATAGATTTAAAAGCGGAAATTAGTTTCGAAATAGAA